CTGCTACCAGTAATAATGATAAGAGGAATAACAAGGGGAGAGGACACAACCGCTCACCACCCGCCGACTGATACCCAGCCCGACCCGAGCAGCGATCTGGCCCTTCCAGGTAACTCCCCCCAGTTTATATACTGGGCATGACATGCTGTGGTATGGAATACCCCTTTGGCCAGTTTGGGTCAGGTGTCCTGCCTCTGCTTCCTCCTGGCTTCCCCTGCTCCCTGGCAGAGCATGAGACTAAGAAAGTCCTTGGTCAGAGTAAACATTACTGAGCAACAACTAAAAACACCGGTGTTATCAGCGTTGTTCCCAGACTGAAAGTCAAAAACACAGCACTGCACCAGTTACTAAGAAGGAGAAAAAATGACTGCTGTAGCTGAACCCAGGACAAGCATAAATACGTAAATTTTGCTGTGAGCGAGACTTTGGATGCCAGGACACACCTGAAGATTCTAGAAAAAGAAATCTCAGTGACTTCTATTAAACTGAAGAATAACCTGGCAGAAGAAAACCAGAAACTAATTTCATTCATTGGAGGCAGGTCACTGACAAACCCGTAATCATACTATTAAAAATTTTGTTTGTACTGAATTTTCTTTAGCAGAAAAAAGATGGGGGTGGGTTGGTTGTTTTCTCCATTGTAGACTTGGAGATAGGAAAGAAACTGTAAATGTAGGGAAGAGCAAGGAAATAATACTTCTGGGGGGGGGAGGAGGCCAGGCTGCTGCTTATTTTGGATATTTCTCACCTCTAAAAGGAACTTGGCTATCTTAATGTTATTTTAATTTAAGTATTCCTTTTCTTAATGAGAACCATTTTCTTGAGAAAACATATAATGAAAAAGTTGAACTGAAGATCCAAAGTTAGTATGAGATTATGCAGTAATATGATATATATCAGAAGTGCATCTGTTCATGTAAAAAAAAAAACCAAACCGAACTTGTTTTGTCTCCTACATATATTTTGAGTGGGACTGGATTGTTGGGACTTTTCTGGGGTTTTTTTAATTAACATCTTATCCTTGCAAGAAGACGTTCTCTGTGTTCAGATGCCTTTAACAACACCCAGACTGTGTTAGAAACCTTTGTTCCTGTTATTTCTCTATCATTTGCACCTCCAACACAGATGAGGAGCCTATTTAAGTCTTTCTCATGGTACATATTTTTTACTCAAGCAATTAGTATAAACGACCAATGTGGCATATGACATTTGGTTTTGTTTATTTAATTTTCCCCGTCATTTTCTCCCCTCAATTCTGTCTTTTTCCATGTCCCTATGAAGGACTTCATGCATTAAAGGGATTTGCAAGAATAACCACATTAACTGTACTACTGTGACCTACAGGTGACTCATAACAGAAAGAAGCTAAGATTAGTGCAATATCATCTTACTTTGCTAAGTTGTCACTGTGCTTAATAGATAATTACCAGTGCTTCTGATGGTCAAGATGTTCTTTTGCTGCAAATTGGAGGAGGGGAATTGTTCTTAGCCAGAGGTAGAACAATTACAGAAATAAGAAAAAGGTCTATCTGGGTTATCATTTGTGAGAGGAGCTCTACAAATTTTGCACTTGGCTAATTGAAGTCTTAAAGGTTTTTGACTCCAGTTTCCAGAGTATATTGGCTACAGAAGAAGACCCGGCATCTTGCCAAAACCAGAAAGAGTGGCTCTCCTGGAAAACCATGGGAGGTGGAGGGCAGGTGTGTGCAGAAGCTCTGATGAGAACTGCAGGTTGCAGTTGTATGTGCTAAACTGCCTGTACCATTTGGCAGGGATGAGCTGTTCTCTCTCCGCAGGTGGATTCTTCAGTTTTGTGGTGGTTGACATTTTGTGATACAAAATCTGAGCTGTGTTTTAAGTTATGCCTCCACACTTCGTACTTACAAAAACATGCCAAAAATGTGAACAGCTATTTATAAGAGTAAGCTTAAAAGTATGAGTAACTTCATTTCTTCTTTGGATTGAATTTAATAATGAATAGTAAAAGTTTAAAATTTCACATAAACATTTGTAGATTTTAAAAAGAAAAAATAGCTGATTTTGTTGGTTTTTTTTCTGCCGCATCCAGGTGAATTTCACAGTAGACCAGATGGTAGCAATCCTGGGTAAGAAGACCAGGATTAGGAATATGTTGGTAGTTGCTCATGCTGATAATGGCACATCAACCTTGACAGACTCCTCGGTGTGTAAAGCAGGCACCATTGCATCAGTCAGAGCCAAAGAAACATGATTCACAGACACACAGAAAAATGAACAAGAAAGATATATCACAATCAAGTCTACGTAAGAATTTCTTTGTTTGTTTCTTTTTAATGTGAAGACAAAAAAATGGTTTGCTCAAAGCCTTGCACCTCATCAGGTCTTTTTTAAGATGACATGTGAATCAAACTGTGCGTTACAGAAGAGAAGTCTTTGGAGTGCAATCTGAGCGCTATTGAAGTAGAGCTTTTAAGTGATAGCTAGCAACCCTTCTTACCTGCTTGTAACTATGGATAAGGATGCTTTCAGAAAGTTTCTTAGTAGTAACCTTTTTTATTTTTATTTTATTTTATTGGGTTGCTTACAGGCTAACACCTTGTTCCCCCAAGCCACTGCAGTGGGCTCTGTTCTATTATTATGAACTCTGAAGTCTGCAACTGCGAAGTTAAGAAGTTGTGAAGTGACTGAGAGCCTGACTTTACAAGTGTCTGACAGTGATACTATGCTGTGACTACTATCTTGAGGTGCTGATTTTGAATTTAGATCCTAAAAACTTTAGAAATGGAAATATTGAAGTCATGTGGTTATTCCTTTAAATACATCAGGAAATACTGGGACTATAACAGAGCCAGTTTGTTTGTCTGATCAATGCAGATTTTAAAATCAGCAAATTAAGAAACGTTATTAAATTATTAAAATTAATTGTCTTCTCTTACAGGGCGATTTCTATGTATTATGAACTCTCAGACAACAACTTGGCCTTCGTCAAACAGCGTAGGATGGTTCAGGTTATCTCATTAACTTAATTGGCTCCTCTGGACATGTTTGTTTTTTCTCTGAAGTTACAGCGGCTTTCCATGTCACTAATGATGTCCTTGATGTGGCTGACTGTGTTTCAGGTAAGCATATTCTTCTAATTAGAAAGGCCTCAGTGTATTTTCTTCCTCTTAAACAAAAACATAATAATCATGAGTGATGGAAGAAGCTTCTTTGTCTGAAAGTTTAGCTTGTAATGGTACGAATTCTGATTTGCAGTCTTAGCCCATGGCTTTTCCTGTGTCTTGGAGGATTATATCCACTGCCTATCCTGGTTGTGGGTTGAATGCAGAGTAACTGCATTTCAGTAAAATCCTAGGGACTGGAGCTGCCTGTCATTCTTCCTGTCCTTCAGTTAGAAAATGGAGCGATACAACCAACTGTGTAACAACAGTTTCAGGAAGCAATGAGTCTACCACCATATTCCCAGTGTGAATTTCCCCATCACCACTATACAAAGTACAGTGAGGTCTTGGCCATATATATAATGAATGTTTTAATTGTGCTTATATATATATTTTTAAGGGTTTGTGTACAGTCAGAGACTGTTCTGCAGGGGCTGTTCTGCAGAGGCTATTGTAGAATGTATCAAACCAATTCTGATGATGAACAAAATGGATTATGCTTTCCTTGAATTGCAGCTGGAGCCTGAGGAGCTTCAGCAGACATTTCAGTGTGCTGTGGAAATTGTCAGTGTCACCATTTCCACCTACAGAGAGGGTGAAACTGGACCAGTGAGTAATCTTATGGTAAAGAAAACTAAAACTTTGCTGTGGTTGAAGTTCTATTTTGGAGAATACCAGTCTTGATCTGAAACAATAGCAAACATTTGTGCCAGTTCAGGTATCTGTCAAGGACCTGTTCTTCAGTCCTCTTCCACCCGCAATGTTTCATTCCTTTTCTTTTGAGGATATTATTTCAGACCAAGTAATAGGGCAGCAAAAGCAACTAGGAGAGAGAATTCGTAAAGCAGAATATCCTGTAATGGTACTTTCTCAGTAACAAAACATGTAACCTGAAGCTATTGCTCAGTGTCATTCAAACATCAAATGTCAGACATTTGCCTGGGGCAAACTGCTGAAGGGAAGCAATGATTTGAACTTCAAGGCAAAGGATTAAAAGCCAGAAGATTAGTTTTCTGTGCCTGACTTTGCTGCTTCTGTCTCTTGCATGACAAGAAGCATGGCCTTTCTGCTTATTCCTGGCTGGTAAGACATTTAATTTGCTCTTTTCTGATCTGAAGATGTAGGTCTCTCTTACTCTACCGGTAATTATGTCATAATATGCTGGATATGCACATGATAGAGAGGTTAGAACCAGATAATTTTTCCAAGATTTGGTCCTTTCCAACCCAAACCATTCTATGATAACACTGAAAGGATGGTTTTAAAATAGAAAGACACATCCTATATCACCAGTGAGAATTGTAAATTAAAACAAAGTCAAGTGCAAGTCTTCTCCTGGTGGTCCAGCTGTTAGACTAAGAAATTGTCAGAATCAAGCAGCTTCAGATACTAATTTTTCCACGAAATAGTTACAGAACTTCTCATCAGAGTTTTCAGACTCTGTTTAAATGTGATCATCCTGCACCAGCTTGTTTTATGGCTAAAATTATCTCCGTCTTAATCTAGTTACTGAAACAAAGCACTCTCAGCTAGGATTGTATTCCAGTTCTAATCCATTCTTAAATCAGAGCAGATTTATCTGTGTGGCAGGAATGAGCCAACTAGATTTTAATTTCCAGAGAAAGTTCTCTTAACATTTCAGTCAATATTATAGACTCATAGAATCCCAGACTGGTTTGTGTTGCAAGGGACCTTAAAGTTCATCCATTTCCAACCCCCTGCCATGGGCAGGGCCACCTTCCTTCCACTAGAGCAGGTTGCTCCAAGCCCCTGTGTCCAGCCTGGCCTTGAACACTGCCAGGGATGGGGCAGCCACAGCTTCTCTGGGCACCCTGTGCCAGCGCCTCAGCACCCTCACAGGGAAGAGCTTCTGCCTCAGAGCTCATCTCAGTCTCCCCTCTGGCAATTTAAAACCAGTAGGTGTGGCTGAGAGCATGACTAGGTGAAGAGCAAGTAGCTGAATCTGTTACAGGGCTGTTAGTCTGATATTGATAGGGAGGAGTTAAGTTTTGAAGAATTCATCTGTACTCTGATCATCTGTAATAAAATCATCAACTTGAGTATTTTCAAGAGGATCTACTTTTTTTTTTGTGTGTAGATTTGTCATTTCCCTCAGAAATCCACAAATGTTGAAATAAACAAAAATCATATTTGAAGTATGTTTCAAGTCCAGTATTGGCAGAAGAGAAGCTGATCTGTGATGGCACATGTGTTTAGTCCTTTAGTAAACTGGTATCTTTTTATGGCAAAAACCAGAACAGGACTTCTGGTTAGAGATCCTGCTTCTGACCATGTCATCCATATGATTGCTGAGGACACAAAGTACTTATAACGCTGTATTTTATATTCTGGATTCTAATGGATTACAGAGGATCTTTAAATCCCCCTGTTCAAAACTTTTGCTGGGACTAGGTCATATTAGGAGAGATGTACAGTTACCATGGATGCTACCAGAAGAGAGCAGCTTGGGGAAGCAGGGAATAAGTACTAGAACAGAGGTCTCAGTATTGAAAGAAAGAATGGTGGTGATGATTCATTATCTTAACAATGAATCATTGATAACTACCATGGCTGTAAGACATCTGTCCACACTCATTTGTCCTTTACTAACTTAGAGAGGAGCTGGTAATAAATTTCACTGAGTTTTGGAATAGTACGTATATAGTTCTAAGTTCAGAAGTCTCACAGAAAGTATATCTGATGCAGATAAATATTGTATAGCAGGTGTCAAAAACTGTGATCCCAAAGGCCCTCTGATATGTATTTCCAAAATGATCCCCACATCTGCCAAGGGGTGCCTTTGGGTGAGTCTTCTCTGTTATCATTTCTACTGAACAGAAAGTTCAGATCATGGGAACAGATTACACACCTGGGAAGAAAGAAGATCTTTACCTAAACCCCAAAGATAGATGGAAATAGAGTATTTCTTTTGAAGAGCAATACATGCAAAAGCAACTACTTGCATTTAGTTTTTGGAATCCTAATGAAATGAAGATTCTATTTCTTTATAAGAGTCTTCTCTTCCCGTTCAATAAGATCAGTAATCCAGAGGGATTATAGGGCAATAATAGGCAATTTTGCGTTGTGTGAAAAGGCTTAGCATTTTGGAAACACTGGGGATAAAACAAGTATTCAAAATCAGGTGCTTATCCTTTTTTTATTTTAGAAACATTCTGATGTTTGAATAGGAAGATCTTCAGGAAAAACACAAACTCTGCGGCAGCTGGCACTGGGTTTTTGAGCAGTACTTTTTCTTATGTTTTTTTTAATGCTCAAATACTTCAGTAGGATAGGAACTGTTTAATGTGAGAGCATCCAGTTTTGCTGGGGACGAGATTCCTTCTGGAGCACTCCTGGAAACCATGTAGAGATGATAATTTGTTAAATTTTGAATACTTGAATACTGAGCACTTTCGGGATCTGACATCTTTCTGATTCAGTCTGCGTGTGTTTCTGTTAATAAATTCTTAAAAGGTTTACTCCCTGCTATTTCCTCTTCTACTGCAATATTGAAGAGCCTCATGAGCACATCATTGCTGGAGCAGGGGCTCTGCATCCAGAAATCTGCCTTAAGAGTCTGGAAGAAGATCATGCTTCCAGATTTATTCCTTCACTTACTCCAGTGAAGGTATTCAAGGATTTTTTGTGGACCACAGTGTATAGAATATGACTAAGTATTAACCTTTGAAAACATCATCTTGGTCTGCTGTTGGTTTCCTTAGAGAATCTTACTTAAAGCAATTTGAAACCTTATAGGAGTCCAACTGATTAAATAATACAAGAAATCTTTTATTATTACATTCAAAGACCTTAGAATTAAGACAGAGATGTGAAGAAAACCCAGTGAATGGGAAAAGTAAGTTGAACAATGGTGGTAACCACAGATGTGTTACTGAAATTGTTTCTCTTGATGAAGCTAGCAGAGCATGCCTGGATGACTAAGTGAACCTGGCTTTAACACACTGCCTTAGCAGGAGAAGCTGCAGTTTATTGAGTGGCATTTGACTGGTATGTGGAAGTGATCAGCTTTATGCTTGGGATGTTTTTGTCTGTGATCTACTTGACATGAATGAGACCCTGTTGTGTCTTATGAGGCTGTTGGTGCTGAGTCAAGGCAGGAGTGCTCATCCAAATCTCCCAGCACAAAGGCTGCATACAAAGGCTTGACCCTTTCCTGATGGCATGGCAGAGGATGTAGGCAAAGGGGAAGTCAGTTCCTGTCAAGAACTGGAGCAGTGTATGCATTACCTGGCGGAGAAATACAAGTGGAATGTGTCTGAGATGTGTCAGATTTGGTGCTTGAGACTCAATGGTACTGGTCCAGATATCCTAGTTGACATCACGGAAGGTATCCAGTATCTAATATAAGTCAAAGACACTGCTGTTTCTGGTTTCCAGTAGGTTACAAAAGAGGTAAGTGTAGTTCTGTGCTTTGTACTTGTATAGAATAGAATCATAGAATCACAGAATAGTTAGGGTTGGAAGGGACCTTAAGGTCATCTAGTTCCAACCCTCCTGCCATGAGCAGGGACACCACACACTAAACTATGTCACCCAAGGCTCTGTCCAACCTGGCCTTGAACACCTCCAGGGTTGGAGCATTCACAACTTCCTTGGGCAACCTATTCCAGTGCCTCACCACCCTCACTGTGAAGAACTTCTTCCTTATATCTAATCTAAACTTCCCCTGTTTCTGTTTAAAGCCATTACCCCTTCTCCTACCACTACAGTCCCTAACAAAGAGTCCCTCCCCAGCATCCTTGTAGGCCCCAAGGCATCCTTGTATCTTGTGTTAACCGAATCACATCTGAGCAGTATTCATGTGAAGCCTTTAGAAACTGTTCAAAACTGGTAAGAGCAGGGTTGCAGGCTGGTTAGAGATGTCCACACCAAACAACATGTCAGTCAACCTCTGTAATGAACATAGTGTTGTCTGCGGTGGTGTGGGGCCATTCACCCACTCTCCCATAGTGGGATGTGGGAGAGAATCAGAAAAGTGAGAAAGACTTGTGGGTTGAGAGAAAGACACTTTCATAAGGAAAGCAAAAGCCATGCACACAAGCAAAGCAAACCAAGGAATTCATTCACCACTTCCCGTGGTCAGGTGGGTATTCAGCCATCCCCAGGACAGCGGGGCTCCATCACAAGTAATGGTGGCTTGGGAAGACAAACACTGTCACTCCCAGCATCTTCCCCCTTCCTTCTTCCCCCAGCTTTACATGCTGAGCAGATGTAATATGGTCTGGAATATCCTTTGGTCAGTAGAGGTCAGTTATCCCAGCCACGTCCCTTCCCAGCAACTTGTGCACCCCCAGCCTGCTTGCTAGGATGAAAAGCAAAAAAGGCCTTGGCTCTGTGTAAGTATTGCTCAGCAGTAACTAAAACATCCCTGCAATTATCAATACTGTTTCCAGCACAAATCCAAAACATAGCACTATAGTAGCTACTGTGAAGAAAATTAACTCTACCCCAGCCACAGCCAGCACAGTGGGTATTTTAATGTTTATTCCAAGTGTGAGTTCTCAGATGCTGTTGTTCCTGGAAGGACTTCGTTGTGTGTATAAGCATACTCTGCCTTGGTCCAAATGTAAGTGCTCAGCATATGCAGGAGTGACTTAAATCAGGCCAGGATCTCCCTAAGTGAAGATTACTGTCTCAGAAGCTCCTGAGGAGTATCACCCCTT